CAATGGCTATAGGGAAGTTCGTGGGAGACTGATAATGCCTGGAATGCCTGTGTGTTCTGATTTTCAGACAACAGTATTTCCCTTTACTGGAACCCCAAGGCAGCACTCTGATGGACACAGGTGCAGTGCGAGGGGTCGGGGGATCCCACCATTAAGATCCAATAATGATAGACTTTTTAAACTTTATATTGTTGAAAATGGGGCGGAGGGGGTAAGATAGTAAGCAGCTGATTTTTCTTCCATCCATTTTTCTTTAATTTTTAGCACTTGCTGCTGTTTACTCAGATTTTGGTGTGAACATTTGCTCTAGCCTGCTGAATATAACCTTGTTGAATTTAATTTATAAACAGTTGGTGGATATCCTGCAAAGAATGCCAGGTACTTGGTCATTCCTTCTAGCTTCAGGAGAAAATGAATTCGTTATACAAGGTGACCATGTGACCAGCCTACCTCTCCACTCTCACCCTATACACAGCCTGCTGTGTCTTTACATTGTGGGGATCCCCAGACATGGGGAGAATGGGGCATAAGCTGTCAATCCTCTCCTGAGGATGCTAACCTCTATAAACAGCACTCACAGAATGCCACCTCTATGCCATAATGTTCTATATGAGCTGCTGTCTGAGCATTCCTTGGAAGACACCCCTGTGATCCTCTTAACAAACCTCTGAAGTAGCTGCGGTCTTACTCCCATTTACGGCATGAGAACAGAGGCACCAAGAAGTGCAGTGACTTCCTCATATCTGGACAGGGGCAGATCCAGGATTCAAATTCACACTTGATGGCTGGAGAGTCCAGCTCCTAAGCTCCCTACGTGCACCATGCGTAGAATTTTACTTCTCTTCTAAGGAGGGCAGAGTCCATGGGTAGCTCTTGCTCTTGACTTTTGGACTTTACATGTAGAAACCCTGCATTTGCAGCCTCCAGTTCCTTCCCCTCCCTCCATTATTCTGCTTTGATTTCAGCACAATCCCTGAGAGCAGTTTAACTACCAGAGGTGCTAGTTCTAGAAAGTCCCCTCACGTGTACCTTCCTGGCCTCTCCCTGCTATCTCATCTGTCTCAGTCAGTTCAGGCTGCTCTAACAAAATACTGTTAACTGGGTGGTTTAAACAACAGACAACGCTTATAGTTCTGAAAGCTGGGAGTTCAACGACTGGCAGATTTGGTGAATGGTGGGAACGTGGTTTCTGGTGCATAGACAATTCCTTCTCGCCGTGTCCTTACCAGACGGAAAGGAAGCCAGCCCTCTGGGGCCTTTATTCCCACGCATGAGGCTTCACACTCATCTCTCATCACCTGCAAAGGCCCCCCTCTTCATACTACCACCTTGGGGATTAGGATCTTAACTTACGAATTTTAGGGAGACACCAACGTTCAGTCTGTCGTGCCATTGTGCTGTTTCCTTGCCACCTTCTGTTTTATGCCTTGTCCAAATTCAACTCTTATTGCTATTGTTATAAATAAAATTAAAATTCATTTGTGTCTGTTATTCTTGAAATATTATATACTTCCTATTTATATCACCTTTATTTCACTCTGCCACCCACAATAGAGTGCAGTGGCATTGTCATAGTCCCTCCAGGCACAAGCTCCCAAACTCCAGGGATCTTGCTGCCTCAGCTTCCCAAGTAGCTGGGACTGCAGGCATGTGCCACCACACCCAGCTAGTTTTTCTAATTTTTTGTAGAGATAGCATCTTGCTTTTGCTCAGGCTGGTCTCAAATTCCTGGCCTCAATGACTACTCCTACTTTTGCCTCCCAAAGTGCTAGGATTACAGGCATGAGCAACTGCACCCAGCCTTTTACCAGCATCATAAATGTGCAACCAGTGCTATTTGTCCACAGTTTATGAAAATAAGTCAAAGCTACCCTTACTAATAAAATATAGCTTAATACTTACCCTTGGGAAGAGGGAGGAAATGAGTTATCAGAGAAACATGCAGGTTAGAATGGCACTAAACTAAGGTTTCTTTTTCATTGATGTGATCAAAAAGTTAGAAATAGTCAAGAAAAAGGAGTGCCATTTTTACACTGTTTTACTGAACTGAAAGCCACTACTCAACACTTAAGTTCTCTTCCCAAGTAGTCTTTGGGCCACACCTGCCCTTTCTCTTGTCCCTGCCTAATGACACTTTTTATTGGTGTGAAAGGCCATATTACTTTAAAATGGAGCATTCTCTGAAATAGAGAGTAGTGGCCAGCGTGGTGGCTCACGCCTATACTCCTAGCACTCTGGGAGGCCGAGGCAGGTGGATTGCCTGAGTTCACAGGTTCAAGACCAGCCGGAGGCAGAGCAAAGCCTGTCTCTACTAAAAATACAAACAAACAAAAAAACGGAGGCAAGATGGTCTCTTGAGCCCAAGAGTTGGAGGTTGCTGTAAGCTATGATGTCTCCATGGCACTCCATCCAGGGTGACCACTTGAGACTTGTCTCAAAAAAAAAAAAAAGAAAAGAAAAGAAAATGGAAACTGGTAAGTGTGTGGCCATTCTTCTGTGCTGCACAGGAGTTTCATCCTAATTTTGGAAATGAGTTTGACAGTAACCACCATTGAGTGTGTGTTTGCTGGGTTCCCAGCTCTGGTCAAGTGCTTTCCCTGGGTGATTCTGCCAGGTAAGCCCTGTTACTGTCCCCATTTGCATAGAGACGGAGGCACGGAGAAGTCAAGTAACCTGCAGCGGTCACACCGCTGTTAAGGGGCAGAATGGGGTTCCATCTCTTGAGCTCAGCATCTGAGACACATTGTGTCCTAAGGGAACACCTTTGACACATTCTGTCTCAAAACGGTACAGTGTTAGCACTCATCAGAAAACTCTTACCCGATGATGGCTGGGAAAGTTCTCTCTGCCTACACAGTTTTATACATAAACAAACATATAAACCTTTTTTGTACAAGTAACACGCTGCGTACTCTGGTAAGAAACACTGTAAAATGAAAAATGATATTAATGTTTCAGATTGTACAGTTCCCTAATTATGCTTTTAATTATTCATATAAAACAAGTAAAATGACCCCTGACAGAGAAATAAATGATTTGAGTAAAATCAAATATTTATAAGATGCTGCTGCGTCCCTGGATGTGTTGTAACAGATGCACACAAAATGCTCTGTATTCGTCCTTCGGATGTAAAATGTTATCTATAGAATTTATAACAGCTGAGAATAATCAACAGTACTTAAGACTCTACTCAGCTAATGTCTGGGTGTTTTGACACTGGAACTAAAGGTACATGGTTGGTAAAATGTAATATTTTTGAAGATACTTTATAACATCTGCATGTATATAAATTTTTATTTTAGGTAATATCTACTACAATATTTTAGGAGTCACAAAATGAGAGACCTCACTGTTTGTACATTTATTATGTAAATAGTTTTTAAAATTCAAAAGGAGAATAATATTTCATGACACAGAATTATTTTAAATTTCAGGGTGGTTAAATAAAGTTTTATTAGAACATAGCCTGACCCATTCATTCATATATTATCTTTGGCTGTTATTGTTTTACAAAGATGAGATTGAGTAATTGCACCAGAGAATTGGTCTGTGAAATCTAAAATATTTACTAACTCAGTCCTTCTTAAGACAAGTTTGCCAACTGCTGTTCTAAAACATGCCCAACACAGAAAAGGTAGAACAGTGCCATAGCATGTTTAACTGGCACAAGAAACACTTGCTTTTACCTCATTTTATCCTTTAATTCATTGTCCTACGAATTGAACATTCAATATATTTTTTTCCAGAAGTTGGAGAAAAACTGCCTTTTGCATGCAATAAAAAAGGATTTATATGAGAAGGGTTTCTTCACTTGCTTTTAATGCTTCCTTTATATACAGAAGTACTGAAACTAATTTCAGTGTTCTAGAAATGGGTCATTAGTCTAGTCCCTATCTTTTATGGAGACCTAATTTTCATGCAGGCTTTCTCTCTAAAGCTCTAAGTGGGATCTCTTTAGGAAAAAGTGACAATCAGGATATGAGATCTTTCCCATGGCTTACCCAAGCTTGGCTTTTGATCACAAATCATTATAGTATATCGTAGGCATCTTACATGTATTTTAGCAGCCAGTATTTGTTGAATGGATGAATGAATGAATGAATTCACCTTAGGAAAAAAGGAAATGTTATCACTTGAATAAAATCTGTTTCTTGTGCATGTAGCTATTCCATTCCTTATGGAGAAATAATTTTTTCTGTTAGTATAAATCCAGGTTATTTTCAATTTCTCTTTCCTGGGTTTTAAGGAAGAGAGGTGAGTTCCGAAATTTAGGGTATGAACTGGTCGAGATTCCTTATACTGTGGACATTCTCATGTGTTCTTTTGACTAGGCTAAGGGAAATTTTCTTATGCTTAGAATGAAAAGAAGCAGTAAAGAATTATCTGGTTACCTGCCCATGTCTGAGTGACTCCATGAGTGGATTTTTCTACTTCACTGCTGTGCACTGTTCCCAAATACAGACTCCTGGATGTCTTCCCATTATTATTTGTTTAGGAAGAACCCACATTTTTTTCTTGATAACTTGCCCACGTTATCGCGTCAGAGAAACACACCTCTTGCATATGTCTTTTCATATTTCTAATCTCATTCCAGACCTTGAATATTGGGGTAGCCCTAAGAGTCAGTGCTGAAAAAGGAACATCTCGCTCTGTCCAGATAATTTGGATCATTAAGCAGAAACAGGAGGCATTGATTAATAGCAACTTGTTCTGTCCTTGTCTCCATTTTTTAAAACATCTGTTAAATGGATACATAATTCTGAGATTGTTCCCAGGGAAGTGTCATGATTCAGAGGCAACCAGTTATCTGAGAGCATTTTGCAGCTAGACTATACTAATTTATTCAGACTGGTGTTTTGTGACTTGTTTATTTTAACAGGTATGGGAGAAAATAATTCACATCATGGTAATCATGAACTTTACTAGAAGCAGCAGACGAAATCATTAGTTTGGTTTTGATACTCACTTTGTTTTCCTCCCTTCCCTTCCATTTTACACAGTTGCCATCCTTCTGAAAGACGACTATTTTGTCAGTGGCGCTGGCCTGCCTGGCAGATTCAAAGCTGAGAAGGTGGAATTTCACTGGGGCCACAGCAATGGCTCAGCAGGCTCTGAACACAGCATCAACGGCAGGAGGTTTCCTGTTGAGGTGAGAGGAACTCAGCTCTCAGAGTGTGGCTGTGTTTTGAGTCTTTATGTTAATTAGATGCTATGTCCTTATTCTCATTTTGCAAATTAGACTTGTGTAGTACCTGAGTGTGGCAGGTGCATGTCTGTTTCTCATCTTTGTTGAACTGGAGGAACCTGTGAAAGTCACAGGCCTTGTCCTCTGACCAGACTTGCCCCTGGTCATGTTCATTGTTTGTCTCATTTGACAGTTTCTTTTCACTATTTCCCAAACACTGCGCTCTGAAGGTGATATTTTGTATGAAACTTGATTGACTTCCACTTTTGTCCCTTAAAAAAGGAAAAGTTAGTGACCTATGAAGAAGAGACTCAGAACTTTTTCTCAGTAGCAAAGTTGTTTTAAAGATTTTTTAAATACGTCTGCCAGCTATTGAGAAGGAGGCTGTGACTATTGATGGTATAAGTCACGGGATTAATTTTGCTGAGATTGATAGACACTTTGCCTCCTCTGTGTCATTCTTCTCCTAGATCCAAGCTACCAGACAAAAGAAGAGTGTGGAGTACACTGGCTCAGGAGCTGATGTAGATGTGCCTTGAGCTGGGATGGGGTGGGGGAGGTATGAACTTTGGGTAGAGATAGCACATCCCTTCTGTCGCTAATTTAAATTTTTCCTTTAATCATGATCAGTGTGTGAATATTCTTTTGTTGTGATAAACACATTTGTCTGTTGGTTCTGCTTGTGGTAAGCCTCACAAGTGTGTGGAACAACAAAGTGGGAGTGGTTCCAGCCTGTGGTTGTGCTCAGCCAGGGAGTGACTTTGAACTGGTAGCATGTTTTAATTCAAAGGAGCCCAGTGGCTGAGAAAGGTTTTTAACTCCTGGTGCTTAATAACTTCTACTAAGTCATGTCCTGCTTTGATACTCTGATGCATTCTTGAGACCTCCTTCACAAAGAGCCTCCATGTTGTGTGTGTACGTGCAGATTTACATCCGACTGATAGGGGCTTATCCTTCGCCCTAGCTCCTCCAGCCTGTTCCTTAGCCTTCTGTGTGTCCTTGACCCTTTGGCGAGGCACCCTGACAGGATGAGAACATCGCTACTCTTTCTTTGTTTATGAGTGACTCTAGGGACACATTGATTTATTTCTTCTCCACTGTTCCTGGAGAAACCCGAGATTTCTCAGAAGCTCTGAGAACAGTTTTTCCCATTGAGCTGACAGATTCTCAGTACCCACATTCTTCCGGCATTCGCTCTCCCCAGCCCTGGGACTCCTGTCCTCGTCACACTAATTATATGTCTCACGAGTAAGGTTCCTACTTAATGGGCTCTCCTCCACCCTTTCAATGGACTGAATCATTTCTTAGAAGTCTTCACTTTATTTGAACTTGGAATCAAGTTCCTAGAAGCAAAATTACGTCATGTTTGTGTAAGTGTGGGGTTTTCCTTCTGGTCCTGCTGACAGGTCCCCACTGGCCGTGTGAGTTGAAGGGGTGGGTTGTGTCCAGCCAGCTTTGCTCTGAAGCCTCTTTGTCTTAGAATGGGGTTGCCATTTGTTCAGTTAATGTTGCTTTGGACAGAAGACCTGTCCTGAAAGCTTAAAAGCTGAATCTGAAGGCTGCCTTGGAAATGAAGACAGCAGGGCTGGGAACGGGCCCTCCTGGTTTGTAAGCACATTCCCTCAGGCCAAGACGGCCTGGGAAAATGCAAGGAGGAGTTGTATATTCTTTCGAAACCTTATGACTTAAAACAAATATTTTTTAGTTTTCCATCATTCAAAGAGAGCCACTGAATCCCAAATCTAATTTAGAAATAGCAGCTGCAGTGCCCAGACTAAGTGTCTGACTAAGTGTTTAGATTTCTTTATTTTAAGTAATGACCTATAGGTAGGTCATCATCAGAGGTTTGAGACACAGAAAAATCAAGAAACGTCAAATCTGTGCTGAGGGAAACAACGAAGCCCTTCCAGTAATACCTACAAACCAAGCAAGCTGAAACTTGCCACAAGCAAATCAGAAAGGGCACTGTCAGCCGTGTTTCTTGGAAGTGAAATAGTGGGCCATGACACAGTCTGTCTCAAAACTTTTGTAGTGACCCTCATCACTAGATAGTTGAAGTTAGTTGTCTAGTTCATAGCTTCCTTTTTTTACAGAGTGATGAACATGTTAAATTACTTAATGGTATATTTGGAGGAATTTGAATTTCAGAGATTTAAGGTAACTGAATTAAATTTACTTTAAAAATAGACACAGGAAAGTTGCTTACTTTTGCCCAAAACATGTCTGTAATATTTTGTGTTAAATTGCTTTACTTGAGTTCTTTATTAACACCAACTCTCCCTGAGATTTTTACACTGTTTTAACATATCAGGTTTGGTTTATTTCTTTTCATATAACTACACTGTTTTCCAAGAAACTCCAATGAAGGTTAGAAAATCTAATTTATTACGGAAAAAAATTTATCAGCATGGGGATGTTATTTGTCTAATACTCACTGTGTGTAAGGGCTACAGAGGAGTCGTTGTTGACAGTTGCACAAAGATTGGTGGAAAACAGCAGTGGTTCTCACCTGGGAACAGTGGTTTCCAGTCCCCACCCCCCAGGGGACATTAGGTAATGTCTGGAAACATTTTGGTTGTCACCATTGCTGGCAATAATATGCTACTAGTTTCTCTAGTGAGTAGATGACAGGGATGCCACTAAGGATCCTGTGCATGGGCAGGCCCCACTACAGGGAATTATCTGGGCCCTGAAGGTCACTAATGTCACTTTTGTGATACTATGGAGTAGAGAAAGAAAGTATGTTTGGTGGAATTGAATATTTCTTTCCCTTATGTGGGATCATTTTAAATGCATTTGAATAAGGAGGATTTGTTTCTTGAGAAGTTATTCCATCCTCTTGGGGTTTCTAGAGAGGAAATGTACCTTGCCTATTCCTAACAGCTTTGCTGATCCTGGTTCCTTGAGTTTCTACTTGAGATGCAGTCACGACCTTGGGAATTTCAACAGCTCCCTCTGTGCTCCAGCTCTGCAGGCTGAATTTTAAGCATCTGCCTCACAAGAAGCTGGATCTGCTCCCTGAGGGTAAATGGAAACAGACCCAACTGTGTAGATTTTGTTGCTTCCCAGGAATTCTTTGAGGTCATCTGAGACAGTTTTAGAGGCATCCAGAAATGAGACCTCACCACATTTTCCTGGCTGAAATTCAGGGCTTGGTCTTGTAGTTACTTGCACTTAAAAGCATCCAGTCTGTAATAGTTAACAAGAACAAAGTTCCTGTCAAAACAAAACCAAACAACACAAAAGCTCTTCAATGGCCAGCATTCTTTACAGCTCAGTTAAAGCTAGAAAAGAGAGTCAGATCACCGTGTGCCAAGGCTCAGAGACCCAGTGTGGGTCCTCAGATGCCCTGGCCTCCTATTTGTTATTCAGTTTCCTTTCTTGCTTAGCAGAGGGTTTTCTTGGGTGTCTTCTGTTGTTACAAGTGCTGGTCCACAAAGGTAAACCTGAAAGTCACAGTCCCTGCCATCGAGTTATTCGTGCTGTAGTGGTGACACAGAAATTTTTTGTCATCGCATAAACAGTTGTGTAATTTCAGTTGCGATATAGTCTCAGAAGCAAATCAGGCTTTTCCCAAGAGACAGAAGATCTCCATGGAGACTGATTATAAGAAGAGGGAAGAAATGGATTGGAGTCTGCTGGTAGAACAGGGCTGTGCAAAGGCGCTGAGGTAGCTAGAATCTGATAAGTTTAAAGAATAAAGATAGGTCAGGTGAGGGTTTGGATAGGCAAAAAAATGCCCTCTACCTTCAATGTCAACTCTGATCCCTGCGACCTATGAACGTGTTACTTTCTGTGGCAAATCAGACTTTGTAGATGTGGTTTAGTATCAGTCAAAAAGCTCTGACTATTCCAGTGATTAAACAGGAATATCCGGTTTCATTTCTTCCATGACTACTTAGCTTTGTGTTGTCCGTCGACCCACTGTTGTCTATGATGGGTTCTATCCTATCCTAATGTTCTTTCCCCTTTCCACACTCATTCACTGTTCTGTGGCTGGTAACTTAAATAAAGGTTCATGTAACACTGACAGGAATTGAATCATTCCGTGTTTCCGCTAATAACTGAATTTGAAGTGAATGTAAAGAGAACCTCCAGGTAACACCTCTGAGAACTCTATAAAGTAGAGGTTTGTTGTATACTTAACGTATGAGGTAGTTAAATTCTTATTTATTACAATAAAAGATCACAGGAGTTGTTGATTCAGACTTATTGGTACTTTATGAGTTGAAGTCTTCAATAAGCTTAAATGATCCAAATTGATTGTGTGTGCTCTTTGCAGTAAAACTCACAGCTGGTTCCTTTCAGCTCTGTTTAGATTATTTTAGTGAATGAATAGAAGCAGAGACATTTTTCCCTAATACGTACCATGTACACATTACCATATGGTACACACTCTCTTATCCAAAACCCTTGAGGCCAGATGTTTTAGAATTCAGAATCCTAGAACATCTGCAGTATATGTGTCAGAAGACACCCAGTAGAATCTGGAGCTGCACTCTTTAAAGCATCGCAAGTAGAGAACAGTCCCACCAAGTGGGAACAACAGTGCTCCAAATAGCCTCAGATATCTTCACATCAGATTTTACCGCCAAACAAGTTTTTATATAAAAATTAGAAATAACAACAAGAAAACACACCTTCTTGGTCTTAGGTATCCAATACCACTGTTGTGAGTCTTGAGTCCATTGCATGACCTTAGTGGTTGATGTCCTAAGGGGAGCTATAACCATGACACTGGCACGGCGAATTATTGGTCCATCTCTAGGGCTGCATGTTTCCAGGCTCTTAGCTCTTCTTGCTCCCCGGTGTGTTGTAGAATGGTATAATAGTCCCAGTTAAAGTTAAGGGTGGTCCATTAAGAAGTCACTGGTTTTAGGCTCACCTTGTTCTGGGACTGATTTTCATTTTCACATTCTGTTTGAGCCTGTGGTTGTTTTCACTACCCATGTCTTTATGAGTAA